AGTTGCTTTGGCTGCCAGCACGACCACAGAATGTATCCTTCACTCATTCGTTGTCGATCTTTCTACCATTTGAATTCATACTAGCCAAATGAATACTTTCTGTCATATCTGCTGATTCGTCAATCTGTGGTATCTGCTGCTGACCCGCTCCAGTGCTTAGTGCCTGAAAAAAGACTGACAGAAGGGAACACATCAGCCATACTCGGAACAAGCGAGTGCGACAGCAAAAGTTACAACGGCCCCACGCCGTTTAAAGGAAACTTTCTGACATTGATCCAGGCTGTCTGATGGGCGTTTGTGAACACTCGTCAACATCGATCGTGCCTCTATGAAATGTCTGAACGCTGATCACATTCGGTCATGCTTCTGTGGCATGCATGAGGACTTATTGGCTATTGCTGAATTGATTGGATTATTGACTGGCCTGGATGCTTGCCTGCTTTACTGTTGGAATTTTTCTAAGGCAGTGGGTTGTGGGCGTTCTGAGGTTGCTTTCAGGAATCTGACCTTCATGATACTTTCCAAAACATTTTATTTTGTTTTCCACGAATCATGATTGACGCTTGTCTAGAATAGTAGGTCAGCACATACTTTGCACCAAGTTCACACAAGAAAGTATTCTGATATAAGATTTCAATTTTAAAGAAGTGCTTATTTTGGACAGGAGGACATGCAGTTTTGTTCTCGTCAACAGATTTATTTTACGAGAAAAGGAGTACCAAAGGAGTATCAAAGGAGTACCAAAAGCTGGTATGAGACTGGTAAGGGCAATGGTAAAAGAACTTTCCGCGTAATCTCACCACTTGCAATCAACCGTCGACCCCCAACGAAACTTCCATAGCACTCATATACTTGTGGCTATCTAACAATCACTGACTGATGAATGCAGGTATCAGTTTATTAATATCCGTTGCAATCCTTGCCATTGCTTTGGACAGCGCCCATGGTGTGCCCAGGAAGACGAACAGTCAAATGAAATTATTGCTGGCGCAGTATTAAACACTACAGAGGAGCACATTGATGTGGTTTTATAGTTTGTTCTAATAAGTGTCAGATGCCACCATCAGCAGAAAAATACAAGAGCAGAAGAGACAAGTTAGTATAAATTGCTGTCTTAAACATTTATTGCTTTGTGTTAGCAGTAGACAAAACAAGGGATGAATCGTGAGTCTTTTGTGTTGTGAACGGGCATATCAAGGGAGAAGACAACCTGGTTGATACGCTACAACCGTGACTCTTTCTTGTACAGCTGAGCCACGTACAGTCAATCTAGGCTCTTCTTGAGGAGAAACATAACTTAAAATTAAGTAAGTCTAGTGGAAGTAAACCGGGCCCAATGACACTAAAGAAACTGCGGTATTGATTGCTATATCCTAACTGCTTCAAACGTGCAACCATGTGTTTCTAAGTGAACCCTTTTTTTCTTAATTGAATTAAGTCGGACAAGGCATACTTCTGATTGGTAAGCTCTGACAGAATTTCCGGCTGTTATCAAATTTGTGGCCGAATTTTTTCTAAGTGGCAGCACTCTCACTTTAATTCTGAGACCTCGACAGTGCTTCAATTATCGTACTGAGAAGCAAAAATATTTTTATAGACCAGGCGTGTCTCGCCAGCATCAAACGATTATATCGCATAATCCTTGATATGAAAATGAGCGAAAATATTAATGGTACTTTACTGCAAAATGTCTAGAAGACCCATTTCAGTGAAAACGGCTAAGTTGATTGTTTTCTGACCATTCCTCCCCACAGCATGACCGCTTGGGTTCATCAAGAACCTCATTTGAGTCACTTAGGCAGCTACTCTTGTACGGTTCCATGGGATGAAACTGGAACGTGGTGTTCAACATTTAATCAACAGAGAACTTGTATATAGAAGTGATGGATTAACAAATAATGGTCTTATAATTCACGCACGATTTGATACCTTACTTTTGATTCCTTTATGAATGTGACACCCAACCTCGAGCAAGTAGCTTACAGTAGTTTATGCATAAGTCATTTTAAAATCAAGTCAATGGGGATTATGGTTTTCTCGAGCTCTTCTGTTCATTACAGATTGCAGCTAACCTACGTAACCTGAGTCCCCGCGCTCAAAAAAATGTGTGCCCACGTGACCTGCTCATGTGACCATCGAAAGCGAGCCAAACAATCCTCACCATTTTATTTGCAGTTTTAGCCTTTTAACTCTATGGGCAGCCCTATTGTAGTTTTGTACTGCCTCGATCGGTACTGACCAGAAATGGAGACGGCGGAAAGTTTAGTGTTTGTTTACATGTATTCTTCATCCTTAGGTTTTTCGCGGTTAAAATTTGCGTTATTTGGTTTAGCCAACTGTCCCTTCTTAAAACTCTACCCATTTTGTATTCTAAACACTTGGGTTTGTGGAAGTATTATCCGAAAAGCGAAAAAGTGTCCGGTAATAACTCGAAAGTTTTGCAAAACAGTATGTCCTTGATGGGTAGTAAGTGTTTTCCGGTTGATCGAAGCACATGATTTGTCCTCTGTCGCTCACATTTGACAGTTAGAAACTGATTCTGATTGTATTTTTATATCATTCTGAGTTACACCCTTTTTACGATGCGACGTAATTTTGAACCAAACCCTTCTGGTTTGCATTCGATTTGTGGGAAAAGGATAAATTCTTCACAGGAACAATACAAACCGTATTTAAAAGAACCATCTAATATACGGAGAGCCAAGGACCTTTTGAAACGAGAAAAGGTTACAGTTTCTCCAACATAGCTCCCCTAATCGGAAAGTGAACACAGAGATTAGGGGGCCAGCTAAATTTCGGTCCATATCAGAGCCAAAATGGTAGCACCATATTTGCCGGAATAGCGGAGAAGTCGGCTGGGCTGGTCAGTGTCGCCGATCGAATAAACCTCTCAGGACGCTATCTTGGTGCACTAAACAACCTAGGCCGTTGGGCCGCACTTCTCAAACCCGGTAGCAATCGGCTTCGCGCCGAGTGGTCTCACTCAACAGTCTTTATTGCTTTGACCTAAAAGTTTAGCCTAACTCTTAGGGGTCTGTTGATTAGGCGTCCAAGGAAACAATCGAATTCCCGTAAACAATTGTTACCGGGATTGTAGAACCCTGTGCACCAACTTCTTTAAAACTGTTTCCAACTTTACGGTAGATACAACACATCGTGACCAACTGTCTTATAAGTTAGGCACCTCAAAGGAAGATAAGTTTTATCTTTGAAATGTGCTACTCATAAGGTTGCTGAAAATCCGTCGACAGCCCACGACCGGTTTCGCCTTTTTGGGGGCTCATCACTTAGGCGCAGTCCCCGGGTTTCCGTCAACCTTATGATCTACTTGAAACCAAATTGCACCAAATTGGTAAAATACATTCATCTGCAAACATATTTGGTTTCTCGAGAGACTCACATGGAACCCAGCTGAATCTCTCGCTTATAATGTTCTCAGGCATGAGGCGGCCTAGTGCAGCAAATTCAGTGGCCTGGGAACAGACGAGAGATTCAGCTGAATTTCAGGTGAGTCTCTCGAAAAACCAAAATAGTTTGCAAATGAATATACGTTTTTTTACCGTTACCTACTTGCTGGGCACAAATAATCCAGCTTATAAACTTCTTGGTTGTAAACGCATGGCTGGAATTCACTTGTCTGTAAGCTGACGAGTTTCATTATATCAAATTCATAACGATGGAACTTTCAATGAAATGAAATTTTATGAATGGGTGTAGGCATAATCAAAACAGGATTGTGGTCATCCCAAAAACTTTGAACGCCAATTGACTATATATCGTTAGGTTTCTTGTTTCTTTGGTTTGTGTTCGTGTATTCAGAAATTTTATTCACCACAAGTCCATTTGTTTTACCAAAGAGAATACTATGCAGGGACGTCTATAGTTCGGCGTATGAAGGCTAACGGCGTCAGCCTTCTTTAGGAATTCCTCCATTGCGGCATTCGACCGAATATGGTAAAACCATTACCAAGCAGTTGTGAAATTAGCGTTCCGCTGACTGATGATTCCTTTGACGGACTTGGATGTTTGTTGGCTCCGTTCCTGATAATTCGTATGAGAAGAACGATTAAAAACGTGCACAGCTGCGAACAGGTTTTTTTCCACTGACTGTGATACAACATTTGGGTTACTCGGGGGTGCAGTCTTCACTTCAGATTTACGGAACGTGTGCCTCTGGAAAGCAAGTAGACAATTTAAGCTTCGAGACTTTGGAGAAACCTTCAAGCTTCAAAAAGTAATATAAACGAGATGTTATCTGGAACCAGCGGCAAGACACCGATTCGTAATTTCTACGTTTGAGGAGACCAGTGTGACGTATGTGATCAAGTAGACAATTAAGCTTCGAGACTTTGGAGAACCCTTCAAGCTTCAAAAAGTAATATAAACGAGATGTTATCTGGAACCAGCGGCAAGAACCCGATTCGTAATTTCTACGTTTGAGGAGACCAGTGTGACGTATGTGATAGCTTGACGCATAGTGCCTTGCAGGAGCTTTCCAAAATTTGTAAACTAAATGCTTATAAATGCCTTTTCCTTATCATTTTACTTCCAATCCACCGACATCTACCACTTGAATTGTACCAACTGTTTCGACTCACATATATCGATCGATCTGCTGTCTGATCCATACTAGCTCCCACTAACTAACCAAAACCGGAGCATAATCGCTAACATGTGACAAGCAGTTGAGAACAGAGTCGAGAGGGTCTGCAGCTGTTTCCCTGGCAAGCAAGCAGGCTGAACTCGGAGGGCTCACGGCTGTAGACAACTTGTGCGTGCATAAATGTGTGCACTTATGCAGTAACAGAACCAGCACAGTGTTACACTAGCGATTTGCATATAACCGCGACATACGCAAGCATACCAGGGTTGTGAGTAAAGTGTTTCTGTGTGAAGCCATTCTACTGACGAAAGCAGGGACGCTTCGCGCAAACAACTTCAAAGGTAACTAATATTTCCAGCCCAGCGCACGACAGATACCACTTCAGCAGTCAGTAATAATGTCACAAATCACTGCTTTTCTTGGCCCATCATCAACCATGTCCGAAGAAATGATAAACGAGGCGGTTGAAGTAGCGGCGGAAGCGATAGACCGGTTTGAGGGTGAATACAAGGATATTGCAGCATACGTGAAAAAGACCTTTGATAAAAAATACGAACAGTCTTGGCAGTGCATTTGCGGGAAGGATTTTGGAAGGTGAGTTACTTGAGCAACGAATATGTTGAGTTTTATGCAAGTTGTTGAGGTATTTTGACAAATCTTAGTGGTTTTCTTTGATTTCTTTGTTTTAGCTTCATCACACATGAGGAAAATTGTTTCGCAGACTTTCGCATTGGAGATATTGCATTTCTTTTGTTCAAAACAACCATGTAGTTTTTACCATTTGGTATTTGACTGCAAATAAAATTTTCTAAAATTCTCATGTTGCTTAATTTTTCCTGTCCCGGGGATCAGTTGTTTTTTTTCGGTCGACGACGGCCTATCGAACCGGAAAAGTAGGGTATTTCAGTGAGCAGATCACCGACTTATGATCCCATAGATGATTGAGCAGGATCTCCGCGAAAAAGGAAAACAGGCTGTCTAAAACGTCACAAACTGTGAGTGAAAAGTGAACTGTGTTCTAACTACGTCCAATTTTGTTGATGTTTGTTCAACAAGGTTTTTGACAAATCCCTTTACTTATTCGTCTTTACGTAAGAGCTCTAAGTTATTGAGGCTCATGTTTGTAAGTTATTTACTTACTCGTTTGATCGTACCCCACTACCACTGATATAAAAAGTATTTAGGCGGGACGCGTACGCATAGTTAGCTTAATTACCATCGTTGGGGCGGTCCTTTTTCTGGTGCAGTACTTCTTGTTTGATCAGAACAAAACAAAGAAGCTTCGAGCTCTTGTTCCGGTTTGTATGAGGCCCATGATCAATGCGTAGTCTTGACCATGCCAGAGTTTGAGTCCCGGAAATTTGTTATACGAGGCAAGCTTGTTGCTCTTGCATAAACTCACGCTAGGCTATCACATGTGAACGGATGATGGGCGTTGTGATAGTCTGACTCATGAACGACCGATTTCTTTTGCTGACTATGTGCCACTGCTAGAATCCCTACCGTCTTTCTTCACAATCTGATCTCAGGTGAATTAGGCCGAATTTCTCAGTCCATCTCTCCCTCTCTCTCTATCCCTCTCAGATACAGATTAGACTAACTCCACTTTGACATTTTCTGACTCGAAACGCCTGTTTGAGCAACAGACTAAAAGTAACATTCATTTATGTTTAGCTACGGTGAGCTACGGTTAACTTTTGCCTGACTAATTTAATCTAGGATGTACGCTTAGTCAAACTTTCAGGAACATGAACCTAACAACTTGTGCTCGTTGGACCCCCTGAGATCCGAGACTTCTTCTTTTTCGAGGAACAGGTGAAAGCATGCATGAGAAGTTTTCAGTCTATAAGTTTGAACGGAAAGCATTTCATGTAAAATCTCAAATGCCTTTTTGATTGCACCAGCTTCGCTGGATCACAATTTTCAGGGGTGCTGTATGAAGAAGCCAGCTGAGTAAAAAGAAGTTTTTGTCACAACGACGTCTGCGTTCCAATTTTTCATCCTTTCTATTCTGCTGCATATGATACGATCATTTTGCGGCGCTTTTTAGAAACCTATACTTTTCGTGATTTCGAACGCGAACACTTGAGAAAGAATACAGAGCTCACCGTATCTGAGCTTTTTACTCCATCTATATTCTTGTCAGTATAATTTCCGCTCGGCACATCTCGCAACTCACCTTCATGTTTTTGACGTCAACGAATCTGTTCGTTTCGCAATTCTGCAATATTACATGTGGTCACCCTTTTTATCCTCATCGCTGGAAATTTTTCTCTCAAGCTTGACAAGGTAGGAGACCGGGAGAGACACGTTGAAACGCAATGACCAGTTCCCAACCAACACCTAGAGCAGGTAGAAGAAATCAGAAATAAAATTTATCCAGATGTTGTTCTCGCCTGTCATTGCGTTTAGGTTTTAGTCTGACTGTCTTTGAGGCCGTTTAGATCCAGTTGAGGTACCTTTAATATGTAAAGTTTTGGGAGACCTCGAAGTGCAGTTGCATTTTTGGAAACTACTAGAAACGACTAGAATTTCGTTGTAGGTTTGCATACTGAGCCGCACTACCGCAGGCACATAAGCATGGTGGGACGCGGTGCACAAACGGTATCTGTGGAAAGAATACGCCGTGGTATGATTCAACACAAAAGTTGTTATCTTCCCCTAGGAAAAACTTCAAACTACCGAACCTTCACCTTCACACTACTAGAAAGTGGTACAAAATAAATGCCAGTTGGCTTTCCAAATCAATATGGCACGTCACAGTTCCAACTGGTCCCACAATTAACGTGTACCTTCCAATCACAATGTATGTTCAAAAGCCAACCGCGCATTTTGTGTGCGCACGTCCTCTACGTTGATTTGATGGAAATTCGTTTGAACATGAAGAACATATGAATTGGAGACTCTAATGAATCTTGGTTGAATCTTTTTTGTGAGTGAATGCGTCGCATAGAGGCAGGCTCATGCTCATTTGTAACAGTACTCAAAAGATTGAACCAAGTTAGTCCAAACATATAGGCATTTATGATTAAGGCTTTCTATTTGAATAGGAATCCGTGACTTTACCACTCGAAATCTTGAGTGGTTAATCGCCGTTCCCAGAAAAGTCTCACTTTCGACTCACCTTGTTTGACCAACCAAGTATGCCTCATGACTTGCACATATAGCTAAGAAGGTAAACCCAGTGATATATTTTAAGAAGAAGTAGTTACTCTGTTCAGGTATTCACAAACCGAAGATACTTTCTGGCCAAAATATTAACAACAATTCTATAACTGAATTGGATTGGGGATGAATATCTCGACTAACAAGGTACTGTCAATGAACAGGAGCTCGGATGACATTAGCATATTTATGTGTTATGGCAGTATATTTGATTCCCAGCTGTAATGTTGAACCCAAGTTACTGTCATGTACGGTGTTTTATCTGTGGCCATGCAAGTAATGTGCTTGGTTTCAATCACTTTCAGCAACAGGATGCACTTGCTAGTTCACATGACTGTTTTTCCACATATCCTCTGAACATTCATGATGTAAGAGTGATTGTTTTCTAAAGTACCTAGTGATCAGTTACATTGGACTTGTCAAGCTTGCTTCACTTGTTTTCGTGCTTCAGTGCGCTGTCAATCATCTCGTCGCCTATGGGCTACCGTTTCGTCAGTATTCAGCTGAATCAGGTTTCGTCAATCCCTGTGAATGTAAGGTGGCAAATTCTTTTGCAGCGATGGGCAAATCGGTATGATTTTGGATTACCGTACCGGTATGTGCTGTTGCATTCGATTCCGCTAACAACTTTCCTGCCTCAGTCAGTAGCTGTTTGTGAGAAATTGTTGTCTTTATTCACCAGGCTGACAAAAATACGGCAGATAATGCCACAACCAATGCAAACCAAGGAAAAGGTGTGACTTTTGCTTGATCCAGTAGGGCGACGAAAGCCTTGAGAAAACCGATATTGGTGTGGCCATCCAGGTAACGCCAGTCCCGAGACTCTTCGATATAATGAGAAAGCATTGATTAGTTAGAAGAGAACGGAAAGCCACCAAACGTATATGACCGTTATCAAACTCTAGTGAAGCTTGTGAAAAAATCGTAAGTGAATCATAGTACTCATACAATGTACGCATTCAATTTGCTAAATATGGTGAAAGAATTGTCGTTTTTCGCTCAGAAGCTTGCCACACGTCACACTTTCCAAAATTTGTAAACTAAATGCTTATAAATGCCTTTTCCTTATCATTTTACTTCCAATCCACCGACATCTACCACTTGAATTGTACCAACTGTTTCGACTCACATATATCGATCGATCTGCTGTCTGATCCATACTAGCTCCCACTAACTAACCAAAACCGGAGCATAATCGCTAACATGTGACAAGCAGTTGAGAACAGAGTCGAGAGGGTCTGCAGCTGTTTCCCTGGCAAGCAAGCAGGCTGAACTCGGAGGGCTCACGGCTGTAGACAACTTGTGCGTGCATAAATGTGTGCACTTATGCAGTAACAGAACCAGCACAGTGTTACACTAGCGATTTGCATATAACCGCGACATACACAAGCATACCAGGGTTGTGAGTAAAGTGTTTCTGTGTGAAGCCATTCTACTGACGAAAGCAGGGACGCTTCGCGCAAACAACTTCAAAGGTAACTAATATTTCCAGCCCAGCGCACGACAGATACCACTTCAGCAGTCAGTAATAATGTCACAAATCACTGCTTTTCTTGGCCCATCATCAACCATGTCCGAAGAAATGATAAACGAGGCGGTTGAAGTAGCGGCGGAAGCGATAGACCGGTTTGAGGGTGAATACAAGGATATTGCAGCATACGTGAAAAAGACCTTTGATAAAAAATACGAACAGTCTTGGCAGTGCATTTGCGGGAAGGATTTTGGAAGGTGAGTTACTTGAGCAACGAATATGTTGAGTTTTATGCAAGTTGTTGAGGTATTTTGACAAATCTTAGTGGTTTTCTTTGATTTCTTTGTTTTAGCTTCATCACACATGAGGAAAATTGTTTCGCAGACTTTCGCATTGGAGATATTGCATTTCTTTTGTTCAAAACAACCATGTAGTTTTTACCATTTGGTATTTGACTGCAAATAAAATTTTCTAAAATTCTCATGTTGCTTAATTTTTCCTGTCCCGGGGATCAGTTGTTTTTTTTCGGTCGACGACGGCCTATCGAACCGGAAAAGTAGGGTATTTCAGTGAGCAGATCACCGACTTATGATCCCATAGATGATTGAGCAGGATCTCCGCGAAAAAGGAAAACAGGCTGTCTAAAACGTCACAAACTGTGAGTGAAAAGTGAACTGTGTTCTAACTACGTCCAATTTTGTTGATGTTTGTTCAACAAGGTTTTTGACAAATCCCTTTACTTATTCGTCTTTACGTAAGAGCTCTAAGTTATTGAGGCTCATGTTTGTAAGTTATTTACTTACTCGTTTGATCGTACCCCACTACCACTGATATAAAAAGTATTTAGGCGGGACGCGTACGCATAGTTAGCTTAATTACCATCGTTGGGGCGGTCCTTTTTCTGGTGCAGTACTTCTTGTTTGATCAGAACAAAACAAAGAAGCTTCGAGCTCTTGTTCCGGTTTGTATGAGGCCAATGATCAATGCGTAGTCTTGACCATGCCGGAGTTTGAGTCCCGAAAATTTGTTATACGAGGCAACCTTGTTGCTCTTGCATAAACTCACGCTAGGCTATCACATGTGAACGGATGATGGGCGTTGTGATAGTCTGACTCATGAACGACCGATTTCTTTTGCTGACTATGTGCCACTGCTAGAATCCCTACCGTCTTTCTTCACAATCTGATCTCAGGTGAATTAGGCCGAATTTCTCAGTCCATCTCTCCCTCTCTCTCTATCCCTCTCAGATACAGATTAGACTAACTCCACTTTGACATTTTCTGACTCGAAACGCCTGTTTGAGCAACAGACTAAAAGTAACATTCATTTATGTTTAGCTACGGTGAGCTACGGTTAACTTTTGCCTGACTAATTTAATCTAGGATGTACGCTTAGTCAAACTTTCAGGAACATGAACCTAACAACTTGTGCTCGTTGGACCCCCTGAGATCCGAGACTTCTTCTTTTTCGAGGAACAGGTGAAAGCATGCATGAGAAGTTTTCAGTCTATAAGTTTGAACGGAAAGCATTTCATGTAAAATCTCAAATGCCTTTTTGATTGCACCAGCTTCGCTGGATCACAATTTTCAGGGGTGCTGTATGAAGAAGCCAGCTGAGTAAAAAGAAGTTTTTGTCACAACGACGTCTGCGTTCCAATTTTTCATCCTTTCTATTCTGCTGCATATGATACGATCATTTTGCGGCGCTTTTTAGAAACCTATACTTTTCGTGATTTCGAACGCGAACACTTGAGAAAGAATACAGAGCTCACCGTATCTGAGCTTTTTACTCCATCTATATTCTTGTCAGTATAATTTCCGCTCGGCACATCTCGCAACTCACCTTCATGTTTTTGACGTCAACGAATCTGTTCGTTTCGCAATTCTGCAATATTACATGTGGTCACCCTTTTTATCCTCATCGCTGGAAATTTTTCTCTCAAGCTTGACAAGGTAGGAGACCGGGAGAGACACGTTGAAACGCAATGACCAGTTCCCAACCAACACCTAGAGCAGGTAGAAGAAATCAGAAATAAAATTTATCCAGATGTTGTTCTCGCCTGTCATTGCGTTCAGGTTTTAGTCTGACTGTCTTTGAGGCCGTTTAGATCCAGTTGAGGTACCTTTAATATGTAAAGTTTTGGGAGACCTCGAAGTGCAGTTGCATTTTTGGAAACTACTAGAAACGACTAGAATTTCGTTGTAGGTTTGCATACTGAGCCGCACTACCGCAGGCACATAAGCATGGTGGCACGCGGTGCACAAACGGTATCTGTGGAAAGAATACGCCGTGGTATGATTCAACACAAAAGTTGTTATCTTCCCCTAGGAAAAACTTCAAACTACCGAACCTTCACCTTCACACTACTAGAAAGTGGTACAAAATAAATGCCAGTTGGCTTTCCAAATCAATATGGCACGTCACAGTTCCAACTGGTCCCACAATTAACGTGTACCTTCCAATCACAATGTATGTTCAAAAGCCAACCGCGCATTTTGTGTGCGCACGTCCTCTACGTTGATTTGATGGAAATTCGTTTGAACATGAAGAACATATGAATTGGAGACTCTAATGAATCTTGGTTGAATCTTTTTTGTGAGTGAATGCGTCGCATAGAGGCAGGCTCATGCTCATTTGTAACAGTACTCAAAAGATTGAACCAAGTTAGTCCAAACAAATAGGCATTTATGATTAAGGCTTTCTATTTGAATAGGAATCCGTGACTTTACCACTCGAAATCTTGAGTGGTTAATCGCCGTTCCCAGAAAAGTCTCACTTTCGACTCACCTTGTTTGACCAACCAAGTATGCCTCATGACTTGCACATATAGCTAAGAAGGTAAACCCAGTGATATATTTTAAGAAGAAGTAGTTACTCTGTTCAGGTATTCACAAACCGAAGATACTTTCTGGCCAAAATATTAACAACAATTCTATAACTGAATTGGATTGGGGATGAATATCTCGACTAACAAGGTACTGTCAATGAACAGGAGCTCGGATGACATTAGCATATTTATGTGTTATGGCAGTATATTTGATTCCCAGCTGTAATGTTGAACCCAAGTTACTGTCATGTACGGTGTTTTATCTGTGGCCATGCAAGTAATGTGCTTGGTTTCGATCACTTTCAGCAACAGGATGCACTTGCTAGTTCACATGACTGTTTTTCCACATATCCTCTGAACATTCATGATGTCAGAGTGATTGTTTTCTAAAGTACCTAGTGATCAGTTACATTGGACTTGTCAAGCTTGCTTCACTTGTTTTCGTGCTTCAGTGCGCTGTCAATCATCTCGTCGCCTATGGGCTACCGTTTCGTCAGTATTCAGCTGAATCAGGTTTCGTCAATCCCTGTGAATGTAAGGTGGCAAATTCTTTTGCAGCGATGGGCAAATCGGTATGATTTTGGATTACCGTACCGGTATGTGCTGTTGCATTCGATTCCGCTAACAACTTTCCTGCCTCAGTCAGTAGCTGTTTGTGAGAAATTGTTGTCTTTATTCACCAGGCTGACAAAAATACGGCAGATAATGCCACAACCAATGCAAACCAAGGAAAAGGTGTGACTTTTGCTTGATCCAGTAGGGCGACGAAAGCCTTAAGAAAACCGATATTGGTGTGGCCATCCAGGTAACGCCAGTCCCGAGACTCTTCGGTATAATGAGAAAGCATTGGTTAGTTAGAAGAGAACGGAGAGCCACCAAACATATATGACCGTAATCAAACTCTAGTGAAGCTTGTGGAAAAGTCGTAAGTGAATCATGGTACTCTGAAAGCTACCCATTCAATGTGCTAAATATGGTGAAAAAATTGTCGTCTTTCGCTCAGAAGCTTGCCACACGTCACACACAAAAGAAAGGTGAATATTATTGAATGAAACTCAATGTCCATATTTCTATGGCTGTTAGCAATGTTGTGGAATATAGGTAGCTCGGGTGCGCTGCTTGGTTGTTGGTGCGCTCGCCGAGCTTAGCAGTCGGATCGCAAACGTTTCATCACCAATCGAGGTGACATCGTCAGTGCCGGGTTGAATGGGTGAATTCCTCCTCTTCTGTCTGTGAGTCTACAGCTTCTAAACGGTATCTTGTAGTTCCTATGGCTAGTAATAGAAAAGTGTCCGTTGTGGAGATACATGCCGGACCTCGTTTATTTTTTAACCATGTACGATTTAGCTAGGCTTCTCACAGACAGCAACACCGTCAGAATTTGGTAAAATCCCTCAGGAACATCATGTGGATGATCTATACGATTTGTTATCTTTGTTAAGTATGTGGGATTCATTATTCATTGGCTACGTATATGGGTATTTCCTGATACTGGTTCCCGAGCCCACAAAAAAGTTGATGAGGTTGGAAAGCAAGCATCTTTTGGGAAACACGGCCATCCTGAAAATAAAACCTATCGACATTCATGGTTTCTTTGGTCAAATAAACTAAGATGGATAGGATTATCGTATCACTGCAGAGCCCGTATAATGAGAGTTACGAAAAGAAATCACTTTTGGAGGCCCACAGTCTATGAAAGGCATTAAGTATCTTTAGCGCGCTTTTTCGTTAGACACCAACTGTAATTTGAAGAAACTGATGGTGGTGTGACTAGGATTTGATTGACTTATGAACAGTCGTGTGCAGAACACATATCTACGCCCATTTTCCCTTGATATTAAGCTGAATTTGGATTCTGAACTGTCCGCTTAGCTAAATAGCATGAAATCGTAACGGTTGAGCCAGGGCCTTCTGACAGTCCGGAACAAAATCCAGTTCGTATCCCTAGATTTATGTAGATAAGTTATAGTGAATATATCTGAACATCAACACGCGAATCTCTTCAATGAAACCGGTAACAAGATGATCCACGCTTCTTAATGAGTGAGGGATATTTGCTTGTCACACAGAGATGAAAGTGCCTTCTCCCAAATGAGATCACAAACAGAGGAAAATGTTGTTACCTCAAGTAGCGTAGATGGTCGTTGGCTTGTTCGCTGAGCCGGGTATTTTGATTGGAAACTTTTCATGACCAATCGAGGTGAGATCATCAATGCGTTATTGGGGAGCGCAGTTGTGCGTAGCGGTGGGTTGGTGGTTGTGCCACTGACTTTATTCGGAGCCTCCCTGAGCGTCACACGATTTCAGTTCTAATTGTCATCCACTGAAAGGTTTGACACTTGCTTTGCAATTTTTATGTGAATGAAACTACGGATGAAGTAAAAATCAGACATTATACAGATTGCACACATTTGGTTCTTCCGGATTGTCACTCCGACATTATTGATCGGTTTTCAGGTAATGATAACTTTGTGCAGTTGAAGACTGATGGAAGCAGGCCGCTTAGTATAGCCTGGTTTCTTTTAACCTACAAAGAATCTAAGCAGCAGTCTGAAGCTCGAAAAAAACATGAAAATTGCAGTGAAAACACACTTCAAGTGGCGAAAA